AAAAAAAAAAAAAAAAAGAACCAAATAGAAATCCTAGAACTGAAAGCACAATAACTAAAATTTTTAAAAATACAAAATATAAACTGAAATTCTAAGAAAAACCCAGCAGTGTAGTTTTTTATTAGCCAGGTGCAGTGGTGGGCACCTGTAATCCCAGCTACTTGGGAGGCTGATAACAAAAAAAATTCTCAGAAGACCAGCAGAAATTATCCAATCTAAAGGACAAACAGAAAAAAGACTAAGGGACATGGGGGACAATATAAAATTGTAGGATGTGAGGTCCACAAGAGAGAAAGCTCTTTCTTGATCAAGGTCACAGATGTTCTGATTAGCAGAACCAGAAATGACATCCAGATCTCAATACATAAGAATATACCATTAATTACCTGAACATAACAAATTAACAATCAGGTGCAATGGCTTACACCTGTAATCCCAGCACTTTGGGAGGCCAAGGTAGGCGGATCATAAGATCAAGAGATCGAGACCATCCTGGCCAACATGGTAAAACCCCATCCCTATTAAAAATATAAAAATTAGCTGGGTGTGGTGGCAGTCACCTGAAATCCCAGCTAGTCAGGAGGCTGTCAGAAGAATCCCTTGAACTTGGGAGGCGGAGGCTGCAGTGAGCTGAGATCGTGCCACTGCACTCCAGCCAGGCAGTAAGAGCGAGACTCCGTCTCGGGGAAAAAAAAGAAAACCTGAGGTCAGGAGGTCAAGACCAGCCTGGCCATCATGGTGAAACCCCACCTTAAAAAAAAAAAAAAAAAAAAAAGAATAAATCTGAGTGCATCCCAAGAGGCATGGTAGCCTAGAAGAGCTACCATATTTAAAATGAAAAATGTTAAAACAGAAACAAAACTGACATTCCTCAACACGGTGTGGGGCTTGCTATCAGTAGCATGAAGACGGACAATGCTGTGTACAAAGTTTCAAATGTCAGTTTCAAAATGTAACTTACGTGAACAAAGACAATGATCTTTGAGCTGCTAGTAAAAAGACTGACAAAGGAGGAACAGAAAAGTGGTTAAGAATATTTACCTCCAAATGAAAAACACAAAATATAATACTCATACCTCAAAATTTTCACTAACTTCTTGCATCATTTTCAACTTCGTTTCATCAGCTGTGAACAGCAAAACAAGCCATCAGGTAATTGATATTAAGAAACCATGTTAATCCAAAACTGTATTGGATTTAGTAAATGAAGAGAAGCAATCAGATCTTATCAGTTTGACTGTCATGGCCTAATAGAAGGCACATAGCTAGTTCCCTACCACCAGTCGCACACATTTGTACTCCCAGACATACACGTGCATGCACTGACAAGCATAAAGATACACACACGCAAACACACACACACGTGCCTCTTTGGGGCTCCAGCCAATATTACTCATCACTTTGCTTCTCTATTAGGTAGAGAAAAGGAAAACAAGAATAAAAGTTAACGTTACTATTAATTTCAAAGTGCACATCATTTGCGCTGAGACAGATGTATCATATTTATGCATTTTTGTTTTTTTGAGAGGAAGTCTCGCTCTGTCACCCAGGCTGGAGTGCAATGGCGTGATCTCGGCTCACTACAACCTCTGCCTCCCAGATTTAAGCGATTCTCCTGCCTCAGCCTCCCGAGTAGCTGGGATTACAGGCGCCTGCCACCACGCCCAGCTTATTTTTTTGTATTTTTAGTAGAGACGGGGTTTCACCATGTTGGTCAGGCTGGTCTCAAACTCCTGACCTAAGGTGATTCACCCACCTCGGCCTCCCAAAGTGCTGGATTACAGGCATGAGCCACCGCGCCCAGCCTTATTTATGCCTTTCTTAATGACAAAAAGGATCAACTCACGTGTATTCACATCTGTGAGAGCTGCCACAAACTGAAGGTACTTTTTCATCAGAGTGGTTTGGTCAACCACTGTGGCCCCCTGTGTTGCAACAAACGCCATTTTTCTTTTGGGCTGGTTTGCTTCTCAAGAGAAAAGTATCAAGTCCATGAGTTCACCCAGCCTACAAAAAGAAGCATAGAGTTAGTCAACTCACAGAGGGCACAGGATCACAATCTCTGAAAATGCTTTCACCTTAAACCAGAATCTAATGCTATTCATTCCGGATTTTTGAATATGACGTTTACCCAACTCCATTTTGTCTATTAACTTTGAAACATGATTTTTCTATACAGATACGTTTCTTTCCTATGATATTTTCCACATTCCCTGAATCAGGGGTTGGCAAACATTTTCTGTTAAGAGCCACATAGTAGATATTTTAGTCTTTGTGGCCACGCAGTCTGTCACAACTACTCAGCTCTGCTATAATCAGAAAGCAGTTACAGACAACATTTAAATGAATGAGTGAGGCTGTGTTCCAATAAAACTTTATGGATGCTGAAATCTGAATTTCATATAACTTTCATTCACCATGAAATTTTCCCCAGCCATTTAAAAATACAAAACCATTCTTAGTTCATGGGTGGTATAAAAGCTGGCAGTAGGCCGGGCATGGTGACTACACCTGTAATCCCAGTACTCTGGGAGGCCAAGGCAGGCAGATCACAAGGTCAGGAGTTCCATACCAGCCTGGCCAATATGGTGAAACCCCGACTCTACTAAAAATACAAAAATTAGCCAGGCATGGTGGCAGGCACTTTTAATCCCAGCTACTTGGGAGGCTGCGGCAGGAGAATTGCTTGAACACGGAAGGCAGAGACTGCAGTGAACTGCGTGCCACTGCACTCTAGCCTGGGCAACAGAGCAAGACTCAGTCCCCAAAAAAACCAAAAAACCAAAACCAAACAAATAAAATACAGGCAGCAGGGTGGATCCGGGCAACCGTGGCCATAGGTGATTGATTCCCAAACTTCAGCAGGCATCAAAATCCCCAGATGCCAAAGGTGGGCTCCCAAGCAGCACCCCTCCACACTGCGGTTACCTGAGGGGCAGAGGCAACTACAGATTCTGTTTGTAGCTGGCAGGCAGTAGGCACTCAATGGCTGCTCCCAGCTAACACACAGATGGAAACTTGGTTTCTCTTTTAACAGGTGTTACAAAGCATCCTGAGAAGCTGGTGAAATACATTGCTTTTACTCCTCCCTCCTTGCATAATCCCATTCTGCACTGAAAGGTGGTTTCAGGGCGTTTTCTTTCAACAGACACACGCCTCCTCTGCAGGCCTGCTGGATACTGCCGGGCAGCTGACACAGGTGACACTAGAGAGCTCCTTCCGACCATTCTTGCTAGACACCAAAAACGCTTCTTCCATGCAGAGAGAAGGCCCACAGGTGTCCCACAAGCCCACTAGAAGCCCCAGCCCTCTGGCTCCGGGTAGGAAATGCCACAAAGAAAACCAAGGCGGGGGAATCCGTCATGTCCTGCTAGGGGACCTGGCAACTGCCTGTTTCAGATGACACCCCCTTCCCCATCTCCATCGGCCCAAGTCTCGAGGTCACGGCCTCTCCCTGCCCATCCCCATCCGAGAGGACCCAAGACTCAGGGGTCAAGGCCTCTCTGTGCCTAAGAACCTCCCTAGTTCCGTCCAAACTTCCCCCTTCCCACGGAAGTCGTCAACTCTTCCATTTCCCAGGGTCCCGCAGAGCCTAGGGGCCCTGGCTAGGGGGAAACGCCCCCATTCCGCGTGTCTGCGGGAAAGCGGCTTCACCACCCCGGATGCCGAGGGCCCAGGCCCGGCCGACGACGCGCTGATCCCTCTCCCGGGGACGAACGGCCCCGCCTCCCCAACCCCCGCCCCGACCCCGCCAAGTCCGGCCTGAGGCGGCGCCGCCGGGCCAGAGGGGGCGCTGTGGTCACCGCTACCTTCGCTCCCCGAGACGGGCCTAAAGAGCCCGGTGCCTGCGTGGAGGCCCGGAGGTACCAGGTTGGCCGGGGGGCGCCTCCAGAGAAAAGGGACCCCCCACCAACGTCCCACCCGACTTCTCAGCTCACAAACGGCCCTCCGGTTCCCTCCTTTCGTCGCCGTCCCGGGCTCAACGCGACCGCGTCTCAGGCCGAGCTACGGCGAGCGCCGAGCGCCAATTCCCGCACCCGCGAGAGCTGCGCCTCCTAGAGCTTCCTCTCAGCTCGGCCGCGAACGCCGTCGTCACTGCAGCCCCCGGTGGACCCTGGCAGAGGCCTAAAGAAGCCCGGGTCGCTCGGAGTACCCCCCCCACGCTCCCTCCCTCCGCGGAGTAGCCGCGCCGCAGAGGCCTCCCCATGCCCGGGGGGCCGCGCACCTCCCGGGGCTGTTCGGACACCCGCCCCGCAACTTACCCCGACCTCGGCGGCCCGGCTGCAGCAGGCCCAGCTCGCGACCCCTGCGACCCCCAGCCGAGCCCTCGCCGCCGCCGCTCCGCCGCTCCGCCGCTCCGCCGCGCGCAGTCCCGCCCCCGCTTAAAGCGGCGGCGCCCGCCGACCGTGCAGCAGGCCCAGGCGCACCGCCCCCAAGTGGGTGCGGCCTGGGCGGGCGCGGGCGCGGGCGCAGGGAGGGGCGTCCACCGTCTTGGTGGGCCCCGGCCCTTGAAACCCCCGCCAGCCGTGACTGGGCCAGGCCAGCGTTCAGGTTCTAGGGGTCCTTCGGCCCCTAAGTCTCCTCCCAGGAGTCAGGCCACGGGGAATGCTCCGGGATCCTGGGGACGGTGGGCACCCTGGGGGGGCTTCCCGAGTTGTCAGCGATGGGGCCCAGGTACTGTCTACCACTGGACTGAAGGTAGACTGTCAGGGCAGAGTTTGCCACCCCCACTCCCCGCTCTGGGCCCCCGCTGCCCTCCTGGGGTCCTTCTCGGCCCGCAGCAGGGAGAGGAGGCCAGGAGGGTCTTTGGGAAGGTAAGGCTGGTGACGGACTGAGTCCCTATTAGCAAAATAAAGTCCAGGTGTGCTTCCTGGCGGTGGCTGCCCAGGTGCAGAAAGGTCCCATTGGTTCTCCAGCTGCTTTACTAAGTTTCAGACCAGGCCCCAGTAATGAAGGGATAGAGGAGGGATGGAGCCAAGGGAGGTGGCACGGGCCAGACCAAAAGGTGTCTCGAAGGGAAAGGTAACGTCAGGAGCCATGGTTGTTACAGGGACACAGGACATGTTACAGGGACAGAGCATGGAAACATGACCTGAACTTGGCCACCTCCAGGCCCTGGTTCCACCTTCCTGCCCACCAAGATCATTATGTTCCCTTCTCAGACAGATACATTTCATATCCTACGATAATAACTGTTGCAATGCCCATGGATACTCTGGAGGGGAGGTGCTCTTTTCTGAAGCTCCTTGCTTGTTTAATGTTGCCACTCAAGAGCAAGGCCACAGCTGAAATGTTGGGATTGTAAGTGGATGTTTTTAGCAGTAATTAATTCTGCCCCAGGAGAAACAAAATGGTTCAGAATAGCCCTTCCATCACTGAAAAGGTTGCCTGTTTGCGAGCAAAATCTGCTGTGGTCCTACCACCACTGCCCCAAGAAAGTTGGAGGCCTAGCTGGGTGTGGTGGCTCACGCCTGTAATCCCAGCACTTTGGGAGGCCAAGGCAGGTGGATCACGAGATTGAGACCATCCTGGACAACATGGTGAAACCCTGTCTCTACTAAA